TATGTACCATCATTTTGTTTGATGGACCCAACTGTGCTTCTAAATGGAAGGCAGTAATTAACTTTTAATGCTTTAGACGTATAATAAAATCCATCTARAAAAGATGTTCAAATATGTATCTAAAGCATTTAGGTGTTTTAGTGTACATTTACCCTTGGGTTTACTTCTGTCAGTTTGAGAAGATTCAATCTTCTATTCTATTTGTAGCAAAAAAAAGTCTGCCAGAACATATAAACATTTGACATGATTTAAGTGTTGCTTACCAATAGATTTATTAGCAGTTGCTTAAGCATTTGTCTAAGCAGTTGGGATCCAGTTTTGCCAGCTCTCCAGAGCTCTTCCCTTAAAACTGTCTTGTTCTATGATGCTTACCAAAACCTGACAGTGCTTCACAGATACTGTCATACTAGCCARTATTGTCTTGCGTTTTTTAAATAGTAAACTTCAGACTAAGCTGTCTACTTCTGTCYAACCTATTTTATACTTGTATTATAGGATGTGCCACTGAAGCACAATATGTTTTTATTTGTATAGCTCATTGTGCAGCAAATTCCTAGTTCCCAACTAGAGCCCCTACTTACATCAGTAATACAAACCTAATGAGAAGAGAGGACAGTAGAAAACTCCCAAAGTTTTGATTTCAACTGAGTTCTGTCACTAAAGGTCTAAGGGAATCAAGCCTACATTTCTGCAGCATAAGTGTCTTTACACCTACCTAAAGATAAATTTATTAATACTTCATTGCTTGATATAATTAAAAATCTTCTCTAGAAAATGTGCTTAATATTCCATAAGTCAATGCTGTTTATCACAGTGTTATCAAACACATGCAGCCATTTATTRTAAGATGAACAGAATTAAAAACCTTTTATGTTTCACTGGGTCAAAAAGAACTGGYAGAGATGTGCTTCAATTCATTACAACGTCACTTGAAATCTAGCTTTCACAAACATGAAGCTTCCTTTCTGGATATCCAATCAAACATTGTGTGATTTATTTTAATAAAATGAACTCTTAAGATCTGATTGGTTTCCATCTGTAATTTAGAGAAAGATTTTCAAAAGCATGAAACCCTATTAAGAACACATCTAATTGATTTTCAGAAAGAGCTGATGTCTTGATGCGGCATTTACTGCACTCAGCAGTGAAATTTCCATTGATTTAAATAAGAACAGGTTCATACCCGCAGAGACCTAGCTGCTATTTATGCATTTCACATTATCCCTTCCAACCCTAGAGATTTCTTCTCTTTGTACAAATAACCTACACACTTTTGTACATACACTCAGTACAATTTACTTCATATTACAAAAAAAAAAAAACCCCAAAAAAACCCCAAACAAAACAAGTCACATTTCCGAAGGTAATGAAAGTTTAACACTGAATAGTGAACACGATGCCACTGCCATTCAGTTTTATGGTGCCTCTCTTCACTGAAGACGATGGCACTATTTATGAGTAAAACAACCGAAGTGTTGAATATGAAGTTTAGTTACTACATACTCAAAAATTTACTCAAACAAATTTTGAGTAATTATACATASAACTATTGTTTTACTGCTACAAAAGTGAGGAAAATATTATGAAATATTCAATTCCATCAATAAATGAAACACTGGGACTTTATTCTGGTTTATTTAGCAAAGAAATACAACTGAATATTAAAAATATTCTCATCTAAGGAATAAGACTTTTCAGAAAATTGCCTCACTGATATGTGCAAAGATCAAAAAGGGGTGGTAGTGTGAGCATTCCAAATTCATTTAGATAATTAGGTGTAAAAAATGCACAGTCTTATGTTCAAGGCAGTAAAGGATCAATTTCATCCAAAGGCAAGTGGAGTGYACACTACATCATCTCATCCAAAAGAGTGACCTTCTTGATTCAAATGCAAAATGCCTATGCCTATTGCAGATGGAATTTACCAGGACAAAATGTTCGATAGAAAGATTACATTTCCACTGGGGCAGAAAGGTATTTGCCAGTGTCTCATTACAGCTTTGATACAAACATCTTGGACTTCAATTAGCTTTGAGACAGAATAATAATCCAGCATTGAAACTACAGACAGATCTTTGTTTCTTACACCATTATATGTGGATTTTTGTTTCCATTCCAATAAGATATTTTAAGATATCCGAAAGAAATAAATAGAAGGAAATAACATTCCAGCCATTTTAATGTCAGAGAGATCACTTAGTGATTGTCTGTCTGATAACTTTGCACGAGGGTGACATAATTTACATTTATTCCAGCATAAATGAAAAGTACTGAATCCTTTGAACCGTAAGTGTCCCATCAGTTCTTCTACCCTCACTGTCCCACCTCCTATTATTAACATACCATATCCACTCTGATGCTTTTGATCCTTTTCTATGAAAAGTAATTTGCCTTCCCAATGGAAAYAAATACGAAATTTGCTTTAGTACATATCAGGAGTACAAACAATGGCCATAGAAATTTCCACCCTATGGAGCTCATGATTTAACTTCACAAATTTAGAGTTCGCAGTCATTTAGAATGCTTACTTCTAAATACTGTTTGATATTCAAGAAAACTTGTATGTTCTTCTGAATTGAACATGGGAATAAGAGACAGAAGGGCAATTTCTAATCATCARTTCAATATCCATGACTGATTTTGAGTTAATTCCTATAAAACTCTGTATAGTATTTGTCACCTTTACTTTATACCTGKGTCACAAGGATAACTGTCAGCTTCTAAAATGTGGCAGGAAGAAAAGCTCAGAAATCAAGCAGGTATGATTCAGTTRTTGATTTCCTTATTAGTAAAGAAGTTATGAACTATTCCATGCAGATATGATTTTAATACTCCAAATTACACATGGTGCCTTCCATTCAAAAGGCTTCCTTTTAAATATCAAATCACACGGCTTAGTAGTAAGGAATATTGCTATTGAAATCAGGATGGTTMATTTGACACATTAAGCAACTGAGACAAAGAGAAAATAAAGATATGTTTGTAACCTGGTAACCAGGGACACAAACTACCCAGGGCAAAACACCACTTTTCCTCTTGTGATATCAAGGTGAAAAAGACACAACTTAAGTGACTTGACCCCACAATTTCAGAGCAAGGACAAGAGCTGGAGAAATTGTCCTTTCAAAATTAATTGATTTTATGTACTAGCCACAAGCTTTTTTTCTCTCAGCGAAAAGAAATGCTACAAAATGCTAGATTTATTACTAAACAAAAAAATTATTGGCTTCTGCTAGTAATAACCAGAAAATTATCTAATCTCATGGATCTGTGATTTTTACTTCCCTTTGGACTCTAAATGGTTGTCATGAGTACATCACAATAGCTGATCAATAACTGTCTATGGACATAGACAATGAATTAAGCACATAGAATGGATATTTTACCTCACTCTTGAATTCAGCCATCTTTAGTATAATGAATAGCAAGGAAAGATACAATTCTCYATAACTATAGTGAAATTAATGACAGTATTGCTTAAGTATCACTGACTTCCACTGACTTTAGAAAGAACTGTAAACCCATTTTTTTTCTACAGATCTGTAAATGTGTTGGAGTTTGCTAGTGTTAATGGCATACACAATACTAACAAAAATAATGCTGTTTATTTCTTGCCATATTGCTATTAAAAAATTAAACAGATTACACCTTATTACAGATTGTAYATGTAATACAGAACAAAAACTACCAAATGATACGTGAAGATTTGTTCCAGAGGAATATCTGAACATATTCTATTTACTGTAAAATAAATGCAAGTCTCAACTATAACCTATAGTGAATATTATTATGAAATTAAATTTAAATTTTATGAGCTTTTCCTGGAAGAAGGGTTGAATTTTTCACAAATGGTTTATTTTTTGCASTGTTAGACTTTGATTATAAAATACTAAAGCTGTCTAAGTGYCCAGATTGCTATTTAACAAGAGGTTCCATGAGAAAGAATTTCATCAGTTGGTTGTTCGTTCTTTCTGTASTCACAGYACYCTAGGAACATACCTGGGAAGGATAKCAGARATCTCGTCCAATCTGMTTTCTATCTAATCTCCTGCTAAAAATACCCAGATAGAAGAGATTCCAGTAGCAAATTTAACAAAAGAAAACTAAAAGCTTCATTTCATAGGGTGTTGTGAACACATGTTCCAYTTGAACTACATTAATCTTCCAAATATTTCAGTTTTGGTAAGCATAGTTCTGGCAGGTCAACAGGCTGGGGTACCCAGCACTTCATTGAACAGTAGTCAGCAGCACTAGCCCAGCAGTTACTAAAAACAGGTAAAGGATTTTGACATCGGTTTCCAYAGGATACAAGTAACAAAACACTTATTAATTTATGGCGAGTGGGGAACAGCAAAGTCACTTGCTACCAGTCTGSAGTTCCATCCAAATGACCTGTGTAACTTCTCGCCTGCACGACGCTCATTACAGGAACCGCAGTTTTCACCAGGGCAGCCCAACGCCACCGACTGACACCCACAAAGCACATTTTCCAGGGGTTATTTTGTTACTCGCCTGACGCTCACACCAAATCGGGCTTTTCTACTCGTAATCCCCAAATTACTGGAAAGATTATGGCTACTCCCAAGTGGGCCCTGTGGTTAAAACCATACAGCTCCGCCAGCGTCCATATGGACACGACGCATTTTTACACTCGGCTGCGGGAGAGCGCTAACGTGTATCCTCCCTCACTGCCCTAAAGCCAAATCAGAGGCCAAAGCGATGTTCCGCACACGAATCCCGCCTCGACTCACTCTGCCCTGGCCGAGGCCGCTGCCAACGACTCCGTGAGGGAAGCCCGCCACGCACTCCCGCCAGTAGCGAACCCGGGCACGGCGCGCATGCGCGCGCGCGCTCCACGGCCGCCGAGCGTGCGCCGCGCTGTGTCCCCACTCCGGAAGACTACAGCTCCCATTATGCAACGCAGGGCGGCACCGCGCCGCGCCCGGGGAGTGCCGGCGACGAGGCCCACCCAGCGGCGCGCGCTGCATGCTGGGCGTCGTTGTTCTCYAAGCGGTTTCCCCAGCCAGCGCCCCGACGGAGGGGTGTGGCGCCGAGCGTCCGGAAGCGTCTCGTCCCCACGTCGCTTCGCGGTCGTTCTCCGTGTTAATTCCTTTCGGATCGCCGGCCAAGACGGTGCGGACCAGTGGGGCATTGGGTGTTTTACTTCATAGACCTTCCGTGTCCTTCCTCAGGTCACGTAAATTTCTGCGCATCCCACAACGTCTTCGGAGCTAGTTTGAGCCTCGGTGTGTGCCGTAGGCTGCCTGCCAGCTGCCGGCGCCTTTGTGCGGCGGCGGAAGGGGCGCGGGGCCGAGGGCGGCGGGCGCAGGGCCGACACCGCGGACAAGGAGCCGTGCACAGGTGCGCAGGGAGCCGAGCCGGGCCCGGGGCTGCTGCCGCCCGCTGGGAACGCGCCGTCATTCGGCCTCGCCCTGTGCAGCGAGGGCCGCAGCAGCCGGGTGGGGCCGCGCCGCGGCTCKCTAAATGGGAGAGGCGGGGAGCGCTGCCTTCTCTCGGGCCGCGGGCRGTGGTGGGACCCTGTCAGGGCTGCCGGGCGCTCTCCCCGGGACAGCCCTTGTGGGACTTGGGTGGGGACGTTGGTTCTGGCGACAGCCGGTTCGTACCACGGCCAGCTCCGAGCGGGGCGGGGCGGGGTTGGGTTGGCGCCCCCGTCCTCGGGTTCGCCCCGTTTGTGCCGTTTCTCTTCCCGAGGTGGCACTGGACGGCAGTCCCGTGGTGTGACAACGCGTTTTTCTAGTGCCCTTCTTAAGGGGCACCGGAATGCCATTTGAAAATGCCGACCGTAGATTGTGTATTTGTTAGCACTTTATTGCTCATAGACGACATGAAGGAATACGTGCGTTTTCCCCAGTATAAATATTACTAAGATGTGGGGGTAGACGTATGAGGTTTGCARTATTTTGCATCCTTTTCTGTACTTAGCTATGCAAACACTTTCAAGTATTCCTAATTTTGAATTAGTACATCGTTTAATGCTTAATCTTGTATCCTCATTGTCAAGTTTAGTGTAAAAGCATTTTTAATTCCCTCATCTGTTGTAGGACCTTTTCTGCATTTTCTTTGCTTAAAAAAACAGTAAAATGAAGTTCTTCAGCTAGCCCATTCACAGAGTTTTTTGTACCTATATTCTAAATCTTCGTTGAATTCTAAAGTAACGATGTTTCCACCTTCTGTTATTGACCTTCTTGCTTGTGTTTGAATTAATTATATGGCAAAACTTTTCATAACATTTTTGTCTTTAAATGATCCAGCAATTTATTAGCAGTGTAGCATGAAAAAAAGTTATAATCCATGTATTTTATGGTTTTCTTTGGCCACCACACTTGTACTTACATTACCTTGTAATCGATAGTAATCCTACAAAATGTTTTAATAAATCTTTATTTTGAATCATACARTGGCATGTAGAAGGATATATCACTTGCATAGTGTTAACTTACAGCATGCCAATACTTAGCTGTTGAAGTGAAAAGTGAAAGAGAAATACTGTCTGCTTACTTTCCTTGGTGTTTTTAGTTGGCTTTAGTTGGCTTTGTAGCTGCAAAAAACCTATGGCAAGGTCTTCAGTGCCTAAGATTGCTTTCAAAGTATCTCTTTCAAAGAGCATCATACCTACCTTAGGGAATGGTTGCTGTCACCATGTCATAGTTCTGTTTGTTTTAAATCAAGGACTTTAGTATTAAGACTGTGTTAAGTGAAAGAAAAATAGAAATAGGAATGAGGAGTTTCTTTCAATTATTATTGACTTCTCAGGCTTCTGGTAAGTTGGTTTTGGTGAGCTAGTGTAGTATCTTTGAGGATGCCTTCTGGAAAGAAAAGCTGCTATCTTTAAAGAAAAAAAAAGAAAGAAAATCCCAAAAACCGACCAAACAAACCCAAAAAAACAAATGCTAAACAGTGACTTGACTTCTGTTGATCAGTGTTTCAGCCATGTCTGACAAAAGTGAACTGAAGGCGGAGTTGGAGCGCAAGAAACAGCGATTAGCTCAAATCAGAGAGGAGAAGAAAAGAAAGGAGGAAGAAAGAAAGAAAAAAGAAGTAAGAAATTATTTTCACTTTGAAAATTGACTGTGCATACATAACTTGTCCAAAATTTAAGGGTAGGTTCACATAATTATTTTCTGTGTCCTATTCTGAGTCTCTGTTTAATGGTTGGTGCTAATACAAATGTAGCACTTTTATTTTCTGGTTATTATCAAACACATGCTGTTTTCTTTGCAACTGTCCATATGATAAGCTGAATTTTAAAAAACCAGTATCTTACACTAGCATTAAGTTCAGATTTCTAGAACTACTTGTATTCATRTGACATCATTAATCAAATTATCTATTGCATGAAAGCTCTGCTTAATGAGTTCTGATTGGTGKTATTTAAAGAGGTAATCTCTGAAGTACAGTTTTGAGAATGTCCATAGGAGTTGTCTCACTGTCAGTATTATCATTGTACAAACAATGTGCTGTGTTATTCTTCTGTTTGATCTRTCTGTAGGCTGAATTTTAAAATCAGAGCAACATTCAGGGTGTATATACTTAACACACTATTGTGTGTTAAGCTTTGGTTTGTTAACAGTCTTCTGGATTTCTCTCTGCTCAAGTATGTGACAGTCAGTGATACATTACTGTTTACTGATATAGTGCTGTAGATTATACCTCATAAAAGAAACRTGCTGGAATGTTTTGGTGTTTTGAGGTACTTTTTCATTACTTCTCTGTGTTTTGGTTATGATCTAGTTGGTGTTCTAAATCAGCCTACGACTGAAGACTGGGCAGCTGCCAGCTACATGATTCAGACAAAAAGGAGAAGGAAATAGCTCAAATCATGCCCTAATGATCTTGTATTGCCAGAATGTATTGCCRGAATTGCTTTTTAAAAGCAGTTAACTAAGTGTAGAAAGATATGGAGAACACAGCATCTTTTGCAGTAGAGCTTGAGTTACTTCTCAATGAAGGAGGGCAGAGGTGTGCTTTTATATCTAGCTGATAACAGTTCTTAAAGAAAACTACTTTTCTTTGACACAGTTATTGTAATTTTAAAATAGAACCATATGACAGTCTCTAAAATACTTTTAAACACCAGTACATGATTTTTTTTTCACTCTTTGGATTTTACATTGCTTAGGATTAGTGTAAAAAAGGTACTCCCAATTTTATGAAGTGTTAGTCCTTTTGGTGAATAAGCAGACACTTTTGCATGTTTATATATGTCCTTTAAAGAGAGTACCAAAGATTCAAAATGTTGTTATTCCTGTCTCTTTACTATATCTACAAAAAAGAACCATCAGAATTAYTGAAATTGACTGTCTAACTTCCTTGATGATAGGTTTCAGTATTACAAAAAACCCTGTTGGGTCTCAAAATAAATGAAAGGTTAAATGGTGTTAAATGCTATAACTTAATTATTGAATCATTTTTAGACTGACCAGAAGAAAGATGTTCTTCCAGTACAAGAAGAATCTGATCTTGAAAAGAAGAGAAGAGAAGCTGAAGCATTACTTCAGAGCATGGGGCTGACACCTGAGTCTCCTGTTGGTAGGAATGTTACTAYTTGCTTGAAATAAATGTTTGGGAGTTTTCTGGGAGGGTTTTTTTGGGTGAAGTGTTTTTCGGGGCTTTGTGTTGGGGTTTTTTTTGTGGTGGTGGTTTGTTTGTTTTTATTAGGATTGAGGTATTTATATAACTAACATTATCATTCTCTGGCCATGTTTCTGGGGGGTATACATGTCTGGGTTTTATTTTGTCCTGCGTGATCTGTTATAAGTGTCAAGTGATGTGCTTCAGTACACATAACAYTATTTTATAAAATAAMATGWTTTACACTTAGTGGATTATTTGAARTATTATCAGTTAAARTATGTATCATGTATGCATTTTCTTTTTTTCCCCCTGTTTTTCCTGCTCATTATCCTCCTGTACTTTTTTTCCCTCACTCTTTTCCATAATGCCAAATTTTAATGCTGGTATTTTGATACGGAGTTGGCTTATTTCTTTTCTGCATCTTCTACACCAGTTTTTCTTATCTCAAATACCTGACTGACGTTGTTGGAGCAATAGCAAGGCTAAGTATAAAAATTTGCTTCCAAGGGTGATGATTGGTATCTGTGCAGCTCTTGGATGTGTTAGCATATTGGCTGTTTTGCCTTCACATAGGYACATCTCTATGGAAGGTGAAAGCAAAGAATATGATCATGCATCTCTACTTTTTGTCTYTAACTCTGAAATCAAAGGGGTTTAAAGCTTACCAGTTTGGCTTATTGGTGAGGCTCTGTTCAACTGAGATTGTAAATGAAAAAGTAGTAATTTCTTACAGATATACTGTAATTGTGATTATATTTTCATAATTGCTTTTGGATAATCCTCATGTGTTCAAAAGTGATTGTGGAATAAACACGATTATAGGTGTTCACATTCCAACAGCTCCAGCAGTCATTTTTGGTAGTTCAAACAGTTCTTATAGTTCAGAGTCTCCATTTGGCTGTGTTAACACTAGCCTGCAGCTGTTTAAGCAATCAGTTCGGACCTACTACACATTTTCTTTGCTGGACTGATAGTTGAACACTTCCCTTGCATGATACTGTGCTAAGGCAGTTGATGAAATTTTTATAGAAATCTATGTGGTTGTTGGGTTTTGTTTTTTTTATTCCCAAATCTGGAAGAGAACCTAAAAACCACAGAACAGCCAATGTTCAAAGCAAGTTAATGCATATGCTTAGAGTAGACGTTCATGAAAAGCTCAGAGGTGCTGACGTGCAAGACTGGGGCATACCCCCTGCATGTTGTGTTTAATTCCACTAAGCTGCTACTTAATCACACCCTTCAATATATGCTGGGAATTCATTCTGTTTCCTTTCAAGAGAACCAGATCTGATACGGATCCCTAAATTAAAATGTCCTACTTGCTGCCTCGCAGTTAGCATGCCTGAGGCACAAGCTCCTTGTATGCCTGAAGTTCAGGCTCACAAGTATGCCTGAACTGATGTGAACTCATGGCTGATTGCTTGGTGTGCAGGTACCTTGTGCTTGCAGTGTCAGTGGAGGTGGATAGCTTGACATTCGATTCTTTCATAGAAAATTGTGTTAATTCCCAAGGCAATTCCTGCTGTTAGCTGCTGGAGACAGATGGCTCTCCTAGGGGAGAAGGAACCATATCAATGTCAGTATGTTTTTAGTATCTACCATACTTATTATATAAGAAGCCTAAGTTAGTGAACCCGAATTATTTTCAATTAGATTTTATAATTTAATCCTCTGGGGCAGGTGATTATCCATCTGGTCTTTCCGTAAGACTGTTCATTCGTCTTGCCGTGGCATTCTCCTCTGTTTTGGGAAGGGTTTCTCGGGAATTGCTTTGCCCACAAGAGAGCGCTGCAACACCAGGACAGCGCCCTGCGAGTGGCGCTGGGGCTGCGACGTCACAATGTCTTGAAAACAGACACAAATACAATGCAAAGACCTGCGGGCATCTCTTTTAGGGTTGATTAACCAGTACATGACCAGGATGAGTTGAAGAATTTATATATTCTTACACACTCGCAGTTATATAAATGTAAGGATAAAACCTAAATGTGTATATGTATGAATTTATGAAGTATAACTTAAGACCTATAAAAAGGTCTCTCCCCTAAGAAGAATTAAATTTTAATAAATTTAAGAATTCAATTTATTAAAAATGTTTTAATAAATTACTGTTTTTTTGGTAAAATAAAGGGAGAATTCATAGCTCTGATTTGGGACAGGGTAGAAAAATGGTTTAGAATTCACAGTATACTGGTGATTTCAAGAAATTCTGTTGGAATCTTGCAGATCTAAATTCAGAGTTCTCCCATGCTTAACTGCGGACAGATAGATAGCAGTTTATACATAGGATTTGTGTTTAGGTGACTAAGGGGTTAAGGGTTGCTAAGCAGTGAATGCTTTACATATTGCTGAAAAACAAAGCAWGTAAGTACCTTCAGAAACTCTTTGATTCTTGTGTTTAAACCCTAAGTTGCATTAAAAAGTGATTGTTTTTAAAAAGAAGTTGAATGAAATATCAAAAYAGCTTTGTATTTGAATCAGATTGCATGATATCATTCAGTATTATGTATCAATTTCAAAAAGCATGTTACTTTTTAAATGGTAAATTTAAAAAGTTRTTATCTTCATCTACATGCAGAAAATGAACGGACACTTAAGTTTAAATACAGTGGTACTAGGCTGTTTACTGTCAAGCAAAAGAAAAAAAGTCATYCTCAAGACCTAACATTAGAAACTTTATCATAATACACAAGATTAWTGTTGATTTGATTCAAACTAGAACAAAAATAATAGGATGCTGTATGACTGAGCCACTTTTTTCATCCACGATTTGGTGATAATGTATTTGAAATAACATTGCCATTTAAACACATTCATTGTCTAATCTTTAAGAAAGACTAATGTCAGAGCTATATTAACAACTCTCTTTTCTATGTTTAAGCACTATGATTCAGTGGAAATTACCCTTTGAAAATCAATGTCATCATTTGTCAAAAGTTCAGTTTAAAATACTTTTTCAATTCATTTCCTCTTAAATGTCGTCCCCTCCATGTCTTTTTGTATGCTCCAGATGCATAAATGCCAAACAATTGCATGAAAGTCCAGCATGAATTGTTAACATTGTCTTTTCCCCTCTCTTTCTACTGTTCATTTTCATCCACGTATTTTTTATTTGCCATCACTTTTTTTTTAATACCTCATTTTAAATTAATTTGAAAACATCCTAAGCTGTGCATCCTCTGCGAGTAGTAACAGCGGATACCTGTCTGTTTCACTATTTAGTCCCTCCTCCTACCTCTCCGTCTTCCAAATCTGTGAGTACGCCAAGCGAGGCTGGGAGCCAGGACTCCGGGGATGGTGCTGTTGGATCTCGGTATGTCACTTGCCTTGTCATGTTCCTTTGCTCAGTACCTGAAATCTGAATAACAAAGCTTTGGAAGAAATCAACGTTAATTACATTATTATAAATAATAATATGAAGTTACAGTGTTAAATCTGTCAAGAGTGGCTGTTTTGCAGAAATATTTTACTTTAAAATCTGAAATGCAGCTMCAGTTCGTTATTTGAAGTTGCCAACAATGTGGAGTTGTTTATGCTTGCAAGTTTGAAGTAAATGGATGTCTTGGGACAATAACAAACKCAAAAAGTCTAACTTCTGCACTTTTTCCAGTTTTTTCTAAAGGACAGGGGATATGGATGATAGACTATTTCCATTTTCTCACACCTAGTTGATCTGATACTGTCTACAAACTGCATTACTTCTTATTTTATTTTTCTCTTACTTAGAACCATATTTCTCATTATTTCACTTCATCTATGTAATACAACTCCAGGACTCACAGTCTCTCTTATTTTGTCAGAACATAAATCCATCTTAATACAGCCACAGTTTTGGTCTTTTTTTGTGCCAGTGCTTACCACATCTGWTTGACCATTTGTTTGGGCATGATGGTTTGAGACATGCTGCTCTAAAGAAGAGTGAGATMAATATTTCTGTTAAATATTTCAAGTGGTGATATATGGGTGATAAGGTGGGMAAACACTACTTCCAAAAGGTATTTCTGCGGTTTCCCAACACAGTCTGCAAATAAGAGCAGTAGCTGCTTAKTAATACCGGTAAGATATTGTCAGCAAGTTAAGTTTGTGTACTTTAAATTTACCAAGTATGCATTGTGGATGAAGTTTAGTTGAAGCACAGTAACTGTAGCAATTATCATCTGTTAGTGTTTTTGTATGAGTAGTTGTTTCTGAAAAGGAGTCAATAGTTAGACTGCTTTGGAACATGCTTTTAAAGACTGCAGTAACACCTTCTGTGCATGTGGATTATACATGCATTGCTATTTGCTTTTTCATCTGAAAATAWTCAAGATATTAATGACCTGAACAAAGGTTACGTGGTGCCTATTTCTAAGTAGAAGTCATTAAGTTCAAACAGAGAATACATCAGGCAGCAGATACAAACCCGATTTTTTTTAAACAATGTTCAGGTATGATCTTGTTTGCCTGTCACGTTAAATAAGAACCAATAAAATGGTTACTTAATTGAGAAGGAAGCAAATTTTAATTATTTTAAATCATGATTATTGCTTATTAAATTGCCTTTTTATATATTTATTTATATATTTATGTTCACTGGAAGAAAAAAAATYTGGAAGTACTTGATGATGACTTTTTAAAAGGAAATATTTTCTTTCCATTCATACCTAATTTAAATTCATGATGAAACAGTATGTATATGCCACATACCTGTAATGGAATGTCATGTTGTGTACTAAATTTATTTCCACCTCATTGATGCACTGCACTCTCTGACTGTGTGTTCTCAAACATRGTAATGCAATGTTGTATGCATGCTTTTTCTGATGATGCCTTGAGAAAGAAAACCCTTATCCTAAGTCTCAATAGCTTTATGCATTTTTAAACTTCAAATCTATCTCAAGACTGTGATTTTTAAGGCATGGAGGTATGAATGTAGTTGTTGGCTTCAACTATTTTAAAAGACAGACTGTTCCTGGTACCACTGAAGCAACTTTTGAAAGTGAAAATAATGCTTTGAAATCAGGAAAACTGCCTCATTAAGGGCTAGATCTCACACAGGTATACAAGTTAGAGTCTTTTATGTTTATAGCCTTTTCCCCAAGTTCCTCTCAAACACGAYTGGAAAAGTTGAGAAAATATTTGGCAGGTATGGTGGTGCTGCAGCATCTGTGTCTGAAGCTAAGGTATCCTTTGCAACATGAAGGTTGGGGTGGTGGTTTGGTTTTGCTTAKGATTGAACAACATCCATGCAACATCCAGCTTGAAGTCTCAGGCACCAAATTAAACTCTAAGCTTAAATCTCTTTGGTCAAGAATTATAGCAGAGATCTAACAAATAAGTATGCTCAAAGTAATTAACTTGAGGCTGAAAAGATCTGTTCTCTGATGCACAAAAATATGRAAAGGTTTTGGAGATTTGGGTATTAAGCTATTGCTGTGGATGCAATTGATTGGCTATATAAGACTGAATTTGTAATTCTTAATTAAATTAYGATTTAATAATCCTAATGCATACTTTTCACTAGAACAAGGTAGTACATGACACACCCATATTTATGAGTTTTTATGGCATTGTATGTATATTTTTCAGATTAACTTTAGGAATTTTGCACCTGCTTTATAGAAAAGTTACCATGTATGGGATGAAAATGTGAAATTATCTTTTGTTGACTTATAGTAAAATTGCATATTCTTAGTTTTTTATTAAAAAACATTATTTAAAAAAATATCGATAACAGCTGAGAGTGTCAGAAAAAAATACATGCTAATCTGTTAATCTCTTACAAGTGTCTTTCTAAATTCTGCCTAAGCCTGGTAGCCAGAAGACGACAAGAAAAGTAGTGAAGTAGGGATGAAAACTAAAAATTAAGGTAGAGGGAATATTGATTTCCCCCTTCCTATTTCTTCTGGTCCAACTTGAAATGGATCCATTCTGTTCRTTATTCCACAGGACTTTGGAACATGCTATTAATATAAAGCCCACTATTTCTACRAGATTTTAAGTATCTTAGATGGAGTTGGCTCTAGCTCAGATGACACTTACAAGCCCAAGGCAGTGCTTAACCCATAATTACTGCAATGTCACATCTTGGAAACTCTAGCAGTTCTCTATCCCAGTGGAAATGCTTTTTTGCCCTGCTACCAAAAGGYTTATGTGTTGASTCACTTCCTTTACCAATACGACAGTTTCCTCCACRTATTTACTGCTCTGGGCAAGTTTGTGTTATGTTAACAAATCCACCTTCATGTAACTTGAACAAATCTGAACATATTTTAAAAGAAATTACAAGTTTTTAGTGGTTCTYGTCAGTATTTTAAATACTTTTATTTGCCTTTCATGAAGGCAACRTTTGTTTACAGATCTTTAGTTTTCAGTCTTTAAAATAATTTAATTCTTTGCTAATAGCTCTGAATTCTGTTTGCTTCTTAACTTTTGTATTTACTGCATGTGTTATTGCACTGAATGTTTGCTGAATTTCCCTTAACTGATGTTGCATTGCCTTGTTTCTTGTGAACAATGAAATAACTATAAACTTKCTGTAACTCTAGAATTTCATAGTGTATATTTGCTTCACTAATCTCTGGCCTTTTTTGCTAATGCTGCATGATTGTTCAACCTGGGGTACCAGGACGCTGCATTGGGATACTGATCCATCAGTTCTTCAGCTCCACTCTGATTCCGATCTGGGGTATTGCACAGATTTCTTATATTCCCTCTTTCATGTGCTTATAGTTAAGTGTGTAAATTTTTCCTCTAAGACTTCTGGTTGTTGTTATTAAGAAACTGTTTCGTAAGCAATAGAAATTCACTGTCTCTAGACTTAGCAGTTTGCTTGCAATGGGAAATTTTTATATCATGCAATATAYATTAGATGCTTATTTCTAATAAACACAAATAAGTTGTTTTCTTTGAGTCTTTCTTTGAAAAATATGAACTTCAAGAAGTCATCTGTTTAAAATAAGAAGGTTATCATAACTGTATTTAAAAACAGAGGAACTCCCATTTTTCTTACAAATATCTTTATAAAAGCTCATTATAAGCACTAACTAAAACTTGTRTTGTGCTCTGAGAATTATGAGTCTGCCCACCAAAACTTTTTGAAACTAGTTACTCTTCTGCTTTTATCTTGGGAGAGGAGTGGATAGTAAGAATCTAAATTTGATACAGGTAAATTGTTGGATCATTGCAGTATTATTATAATACATACTGCAATTAGGTTTTACAGGAGGCTACAATGACTGAATTAATGTTGTATAGGTTTTGGAAGCATATTTTATGTTGCACGATGCTATCTTTGTCTAACTTCATTGAAGTCAGAAAGCTCAGAGCATAGATTGTTCCTGAGCACAATCTATGATAGATAAATCACTTGTCAGTGTGAGTTCCAGGTTAGCCTTGCAGTTCTGCATTCTAAATAGAAAAATACCTAGAAATGGACAAAAAAAGGGCAGCAAAGTTAAAAGAGTAGGAGATGCTTTTTCCTTCAGCATAACTAAGTTGTTTCCAAGCTTTRCAATTCTAGAACTGTGCAAGCATGATTTGTGAGTAGATCTGCACCCCTGATAATACAGACGTATCATATATATGGCAGTATTCTGGTCAAACACAAAGAGGAAAAATTTAAAATTATATCCTAATGTCCAGATATTTATTGTGCACCTCTTTTGTTTTGTCCCATGTATGTAGAAATAGTTGCTGATTTTAAATAATAATGATAAAAAAGTTGTCGTAATTGTGTGACTYCTTCAAAGTTTCCACTGGATTTAAGTTTGGCTAAGCAGTGCTGTGACATAATGACTTGGGTATTATTCTAGGTAAAAATGTGAAATGATAAAATTAAATGCTTTTTTTTCTGATTTTTCAATCTGTTGTATTTAGACGTGGACCTGTTAAACTTGGAATGGCCAAAATTACACAAGTTGACTTTCCTCCTCGAGAAATTGTTACATACACAAAGGAGACTCAAACACCTGTTATGACTCAGCCCAAGGAAGGTRAATGGTTAATTTATTACTATTATGGGTTTTTTTGTTTCTTTTAATATAATAACGATGAGTGGCTGAATAGAACTAGCACTTATGATCTTGAAACTTAATAAGGTAAATGAAGGTTGATATGTGAGATAATTTACATAAATTCTATTATTAAATTTGTATAGGTTTTTCTGCTTTCATTTCTCCCATGCCCTCAACATTTTCTTTCTCTAATCCTTCAGGTCTTTTTTCCTTCCCTCTCTCATATTCRTGGAATCTGAATACTTAGTTCATAATTTATGTACTTGAAGAGTTTTATTTCTGCTGCTTGCTGACAGTGGAAATTGCTTGGGATTGTAGGACCTGAGTTTCATGGTACAAAGGCTGTAGCTGAGGTTTGCTGTAGTGGAGTAGGAACAGTGATCATCTCTATTTCTGCATTTACCAGAAAGCTGTCTTAATACATGTATTGTCTCCTGATCCATTCCACCTTAGAAATACTGAGGGCCATCATAACTTTTTTTAATATACTTATTTTGTGTGCTTTGCTGAATACACAGGTGTCTTTTCATCATTTAGGTGTTGAAGATGTTTTTTAAGGTCTATCTTAAGATTATCTGAATATATTYATAATAAAGCTCTGTGCTGTTGGAGCTGTGCTTTTGAATAAGGAATATAGAAGCAGTTTTATTAGATACCCTCTGCAGTTATTCTTCATGTTTAGGTCCTCTTGTGCCAACTTTTGATTTGAGGGGGGAGGACAGCACATGAAATAAAAACAACAAACCCACAACAAATCACCAAACTAAATGGTTCTCTTTTCAGTTCTGTGTTCTACAGGGGTTATGTAGTTGTACTGTAAGCTGAATTAGGAAATGTTCAAACTGCAGCTGGTCTATCCAGTAGGGCAGATAGAAAGTAGAAGTAAACTAGTTTTAAATTAAAACAGTTTATAGTTGTTATGGAAATATTTATGGCAACATATACCAAGTGAGTTAAACAGGAGAGAYTTTATGTCTTCAAAGGAAAGTTGGCATTTCATAATGCTTGTTTTGGATTAATGTAACAGTTAAATTAATTATGAAATGTGGCAGCTTCTTTAGGAGATGAAGCATTTAGTGTGCTAACAGTTCTCACAATTTCCATTATTCTGTTAGGCTACTAATATGTTGATTTATTATGACCTCAAACATTAAAGAAACTGCCTGTCTTRAGAAGATTGATTCTTATATATTGTAAAACAATAAAATCAGGGTGTCTCCTAGAAATCAGTTAATACAAAGAAAGGTGAGTGTATAGGGGATTTTGCTCAGCTGTCACAATTAAGGCTTTTTCAGGGCTAACATGTTACTTGCTACTTAATTCTGCTGCACAGTACTGTGCATGTGCAATCACAGCTGATTACAGGCAGTATTATTGCATTAGCTCCACCCTTTGAGGAACAGATGTCTGCTAACATCTCCAAGGCACACAATTAAAATATTAAGCAATGTAATAAAAGTATGATGTATAGGATTTGCTTCTTGGCTACTGGTACAGTGAATGTAGGATTTACACATTTTAATATTTTTAAAAGAAATAACAGACCTTTGTATATTCRTGTATAATCCTTGTGGGTCCATTCCAACTCAAAATATTCTGTGATTTCTRTATTATCTAGAACAGGCCTTAAATGTACAGGAATATAGCTAGGAAAACTTGATGTGAAGACATTCAGCTTAACAAAAGCCACCCATTTCACAGATGATTTAACTTTGATTAACCTACTCTGCAGCAACAGATTACTCAGACAACTGGAACTACACTCTACAGTGTTATTGCTAGGTGCAGCCTAATTTACAGCATTGCTTTTTTTTCTGTCTTGCCAAAATACATCACAATTTTTATGTTAACTCAAAGTAAAAATTCAGTGGTTCATTAAATCTGTTTTTAGCATTCATTGACRAGACTTTTGTTGCTATTAAAGATTGCATAAAAATAGCAGCTACTTTACTGCTCAGTTTGTAACCTTAGATCCCCTGATTGCCTGTCAGAAACAACATGGAGTTAATCCCTTAGCATATTATARTGAATATTCATCAATATGTTGATGTGACATAGAGTCCCATTTCCTGTCTTCATGGCCCCTGTGACTTTTCCAAGTCTTAGCAGCTTTCAGTTTTTAATCTGAAATCGTATTTGGTACGCTGACAACTGAAGTGGCTTMAAATGCCAGTAGATGCAGTCAATAATGAATAAGGAGGATGCAGTTAGGGAGTGCCCTTAAGATTTCAAATTTAGGTAGCTGACTTGAAATAAATGCAGTGCACTGCAATATCATGGCTTCTTGACTTATTAGATTGGAACTTCTGAAATACTGTGTCCAGAGTTTCAGTGTTTGCTGGGTGCTGTATTATTGTTATGTTAATTCATTGCATATTCTGGCATCTGGATTCCTATTAAATAAATTCAAGATGAAGGAGAGACAGGAAAGTAATAAAAACAAACATTTCTTATCTCGTTTGTTGTCCAGCAGCTTAATGGTGCCTTTTTTGTGAACTGTAAGAAAGCTTCCTGAGTTTGRATAAGAAAGCATTCTAGTTTTGGATAATGAGGTCAAGAACTTGTGTATGTGGCAATTTTTTTTATTTTAGGGTTATTTTTCCTCCAGATCCCTTAATGAGAAAGTTTGCATATGATTCTTCTTTAGAGAGAAGGTTTTAGATTTATGCAGTTACAGATAAATCAGTGAGATGACATGTTCAATTTCAAGTCTGATACTTGGAGAATATTAAAATAAGTGCTGTATCCTGCATTTAAATGCAGTAATATCAGCTGGCTGTATGCAGTGAAAGTACTATGAAGGAATTTAGAGCTCTGTATAATATATGCCATTTATGTTTCAAACATTAAAAGGCAGGAGCAATCAACTGTATGATCTTTTGAATAAAATATGTAGATTAGAAGGTCATATAGCACTAAAGGGTTGACCGTCTACGTTTGACAAGAATTTGACTCCTGTCACTGAAAATGGTACTTAGAATCAGTGTAGTATGACTAATGGGGGGTTGGCCTGAAATTTCTAATTTGGGACTTTCAAAGCTAGAATAATGTATCCAGGGTGACCCAAAACCAAATTTCCAAATTTGAAGGCATCATTTAATTCTGCAAGATTGATTGGCAGAGCAAAAAAGAGGGGGATTTTTWTCCAAGTGGCTGTAATTTGAATATGTGTTGTTCTCCAAGTCATCTGTGTTAACTCATATTACATTTTTTAATTAATCATTGTTCACACCTGTAGTTAYTGACATTAAGAATTCCCTTCTTTAAAATGGCCACGGGTTATGCAGTTTTCAGGTTACGAGTCTGCTGTACATGCGAATCCATCGAAAAAGGAGCAGTGTCTTTCTGTTTCTTTGCGTGATTCTTTTGCACAAAAAAAGCTTTCATTTTTTTTAAGTAGCACAAAAGCTGTAATTGGCATGCTTTGTAAGGAAGTGTCAATGTGCAAGAGAGTGGAGATCACTAAGAATTCTTTTACGGGTTCTTTCCCCTTTGCACCACCGCCTCCTCAGCAGGGTCACTGAGATCACTAGCTTTTCTTGAAATGGCCATTTTCACTGGCAGGTGCATTATACCCTGTATTTTCAGATTGTTTTTCCATTCTGAATGTTTGGCAGGTTGATTGCTCTGGCTGCATTGACGGAGAAAGGGCTGACAAATGCGGTTGGGCTGGCTGAAAAGACAGTGATTACTGTTTTCCTTTGTAGCTGATTGAGGCCCTTGAAAGGAAAGATTTTAACCTTCACCATTTGGTTCAAAAGTATGAGCATATATTGAAATCATTCATGCCATTTATCCTAGTTCTGTAAACTTGTCAGAACATAAAAATCGCTCAATTTCAAGTAATGTAGGATTGGCATACGTCATTATCATTTTGATTAAGTTGGAGTTTGTATTATTGTGTGCATTATACAGTGTCATTTAAAGCTTTCTTTCCTGCAGGTACAGTTATATTTTTATTGCCTATACTATGGAGTTAGAAAGATTTTCAGACCTCTTTAAACCTATCACTATGTGTGTGGTTTGGCAGCTGGTATGGCCTACAAGCTGTATTTTGTTTGCAGGGTAAAGCCTTGTCTGTAGACCTCCTGGAGTGCTGGTAATTGCACAGGCTTGCCATTGGGAAAAGACATGATTGGAAGCAGTCAGGCAGAAAAATGTTGTGCCATCCCATTGCCACCTCATAGCAGAGAGACAATCCTTGCAGTACCATCTGGTTGTTGCTATCTAGTCAGCTGGCCTGGCTGCTGGGACCATGGCTTGGCAGCTGGTTCCCATCCCTTGGCCACCCCTTTTTTTTCAGTCTTTTTTGTGTGCATGCATGTGGAGTTTGGGTTGGTTTTTTTTTTTCACTTTTTGTGTTAGATAACTTTGAACATGGGTCAGGGAGATGGCTGCAGCAAACAAGCCTAGTCGCTGTTGAATACTGTCTCATTACTTGTGGTGAGGCATGCAGCAGTCTCCTGCTGCCGTTCCCTTATAAGCAGATGACATAGCTATTTAACCAATAAAAACAAGTCTTTTCAGAACCTTATTCTAGAAAGTGGATGAAGAAAAGCCAGGAAATGCATATCCCACAATTCTAAGTAATTTAAAGGTATTTTCTGGTTTACAGTGTCTAAAGAATAAAATGTAGAAATGCAGGAAGTGCTGTAAGCCTTGTCAGTATTCCTGAACATTAACATTTTATGTTGTTCATTGCAATTAGGGAAAACACATTTTCCTGTAAAGTTCTCATTGCCAAACATGATACAGATAATGAGACTTGCACCTAGAATGACAGAAAAAATGTAATCTCTCTGCTATTATCTTCAGCAAAATTTGCCTCTCAGAATAGCAACCTGAAAGCTAATGTAAGCCATCTTCGTGCCATGTGCAGACCCATTAGAGTGATGGTTTCAGATCACAAGCAAGCAGCTGCTCTGTAGACTATTTTAGACATTTGATTTTTCTTTATTCCATGGCATTAATGTGTCAGTGTGTTACACAGAACATGCATCCACCGCATGGTTCTGTGTGGAATCATAAATGCCTGTAAGACAGATTTCCACTTTGGATTCTTTACAATTTCCTGCGTGTCTTATTTCAGTTTATGCAAGTACATAACTCAGTGCAACTAATACCCAGGTGTAAACAGCATTCCAGTGATATGTTGGTTTGTGAGAATGTTATCCTAGGGACTACATTTTACAGTGCAACCATTGTAGAGTTACATGCTACCATTTTACATCAGCTTATTTAAGATTCATATAGAAWGTTACTGTTCCTCTATAGAAACACTGAGGTCTCATCATAACATTTCTCCTTAGATGAGGAAGAGGAAGATGATGTGGTTGCACCAAAGCCATTAGTTGAACCTGAGGAAGAAAAAACACTGAAAAAAGAGGAGGAGGAAGAAGGTACAGTTCACCTCAAGACATTCTGAGCATCCTGTAAAGGAAGCCATCAGTACTTTTTCAATTTTTTGTTCCATTAAGTTAAAATTAATTTGATTGTTAAATACCAATTAGCCATCAAGATACAAAATGCAAAAATTTAAAATCATGATAAATACTGTTTTTCTTTCTTGAAAAGGATTGGTTGAAAGTGGGCAGTTCAGAAAATGTCTGTATGAATCTTTTTCAGCTGCCCCTCATGAACTCACAGAAGAGGAAAAGCAACAAATTTTGCATTCTGAAGAATTTTTAAGTTTTTTTGACCACTCCACAAGGATTGTTGAAAGAGCCCTTTCTGAGCAAATAAACATTTTCTTTGACTACAGTGGAAGAGACTTGGAGGACAAAGAAGGGTAATGTGAATGTTGAATAGTTTTCTGTGAACATCTGAAACTTTTAATTGAAAAAGTGATCTAAGATTAATATCTCTTAATTGTCTTTATAGAGAGATTCAAGCAGGAGCAAAACTGTCCTTAAACAGGCAGTTTTTTGATGAACGTTGGTCAAAGCATCGTGTTGTCAGTTGTCTGGACTGGTCATCTCAGGTAAAAAATAATGTCTGAATGAAACAGTTGACTTTGTAAATTGTTGTAGTTCYGTGCATTTGACTCTAATAAAAGCACAGCTGATACAGGCTGTATCTCTAAATGTGTTCCTTACTTGCTCCATGGTTTGCAAAAAGTGGWGCTGTTAATCTTTCGGGAGAAGTAGCAAAAGGTTCATAATGTGAACTAAGTTGGTGTTTGTTTATGGACTGCATTGTAGAGGCAAYGGCTTCATTAAAAAGAAAGCTTGCTTAAAAGTACTGGGGTTTGCAGTTAAAAGCAAGTTATGATGAAAAGAACAAGACTAATGTGTACATTAATGCTGTTTTATGAGCTAAATTGGTAACAATTGCAGTTTTACCTCACAGGTTTTCATACCTTTATAATGCAAGGTGGTTTTTAACCCTATTTTGGCAAATGAAAACAAAGATTCTAGGATTATCTGGACCATTAGCCAGTCATCTTGCTTACTTTGAATCTTTTTCACTTACTGTGCAGTATCCAGAATTACTTGTTGCCTCTTACAACAACAATGAGGATGCACCTCATGAGCCTGATGGGGTGGCCCTTGTGTGGAATATGAAGTACAAGAAAACTACCCCAGAGTATGTCTTTCATTGTCAGGTATGAATCTGTCTTGGGAGGCTCAAGATTTTATRCTGATGAATTTGGACAAGTACTGTTTGTCAATATAGTAATTTCATTAAGCTGACATTCACTTAACCCCGCACTTATTTGCCAACGGATGTTGATACCTAGAGACTTCCCTGAGAAATACYATTCTGTTTCAGAACTTCTGACGACATTCAGAATTCAGTCTTGTTTGAGAACTCATTATCTTCTTTTATTTAAAAATCGGGAAAACTTACTTGTGTAATGGTTGAGCCACAACGATTTGTATGTAAGGCCCTTGAGTTGGATTGTACACTACTACAGCTTAGTTCACTGAATAAAATGAAGACAGCCTGAGGAAATGAAATGAGGATAAAACTAGAAACATGCATCAAGAAAAAGGCAGATGGAGGTTTTGTAGTAGTTTTCTGAAAGATAAAAACATGCTAATCTCTTCCATTATGCCAAGTTCAAGATASCCACTTTTTTTCCATCATTTTTGAAAATTACACAGTTGACTCAAAATTTAACCTCATGTTGTCACATTACTGTCAAAGCCCAGATTGCAAAAATAACTGTTTTACCAAAGTGTATTTCTGCATTCTCCAAGAAGTAATGACTACAGGATGTGGCAAAACATTATTAAAATATTGTGTTACTGGGCCTTCCTTTGCTAATAAACCATGCTAAGAGGAATACAGATGTATTCATGTGAAAGAAAGGAGGAGGAAAAGTTCATTTTAGAATTATAAATTGAAACAAAAGGATTGTTCAGGGGTTACAAAGGGTGTGTGAATCCTTAAGTAATTGGGCAGTGAAATAATGTACTGAATAAATGTAGGCAAAGAAGTTGTTCTGATAGTTGGCCTCATTTTCTTTAGTTTTAGACACAGTATGGTTGAGTGATAGTTTGTGTATTTTGTTGTTTTTCTTCCTTTCAGTCAGCAGTGATGTCAGCTACATTTGCAAAATTTCATCCCAATTTGGTGGTTGGTGGCACATACTCAGGCCAGATAGTGCTGTGGGATAATCGCAGCAATAAGAGAACACCAGTGCAGAGAACTCCACTTTCAGCTGCTGCTCACACGGTAGGAGGTGAAATATCTGCAAGGACTGTGCCCTGTTGAGATGTGTTTAATGTCTAGAAATTCTGTCCAGCRTACTTGATTGGCAGTGCTTAAATGTTTATGTCCATATTTTGACATTTAGGATCCAGACAATTTATAAAAACTGGAGTTCAGAAAAAGCAGTATTAGTTTTATAGGGGAGTATAATTTGWACTTTTGATTGTGATCAATCTTTTATGCTTTGTTAAAAGGTGAAGTTGTATATTTTACTGTATATTAATTATATCAGAACTGTTTATTACCTGTAAATTCCTTTCTGATAATATTTTGTTTCTTAGCACCCAGTGTACTGTGTAAATGTTGTTGGGACCCAGAATGCTCATAATTTGATTAGTATCTCAACTGATGGGAAAATATGCTCTTGGAGTCTGGATATGCTTTCCCAACCACAGGTAAGATAACTTTGGATCTAAATAGTATCTATTCCAGATTAATATTTTATAAAAAATTCAGTTAATCTAAGAAACAGTAATCAACATTTTCCCAACACATAGAAATTAAGGTAGCTTGATATTTGATAACATATTTCCCCACCTGTGGAATCAAATACTTTCTGTAGACTCTTGTGTATTTTTGATGTACTTGTATTAGTGATGAATGCAAATGAAGTAAGAAAATTTCCTTATTCCTGCCCAATCTATACAAGTCAAATAAAAAGAAAACACTGCTATTGTGAAATCTAAAAGATTTTTGTAAAGTAAGTTACTGGTATTTTAACCACAGGATAGCATGGAGCTGGTTCACAAACAGTCCAAGGCTGTGGCTGTTACCTGCATGTCTTTCCCTGTTGGAGATGTCAACAACTTTGTTGTTGGCAGTGAAGAAGGCTCAGTGTACACTGCATGCCGTCATGGCAGGTAAATACAAACTTCAGTTATTCAAAGGAAATTAAAATAGTGAAAGGAWGAGTCCCTGCATGTTTTACACTCAATTTTTTTTAAAGTTCCTTTTTTCTCCTCTGCATTGAAGCAGTTCAGAGTAGCTCTGTCTGAATTCCAGTGCACTTTTTCCTGAATAAGARCTTCATTAAAAACAGAAATAATTGGAATATTGAATTGGTATTATGAGTTGTTTGTGTTGATCAGGACAGCATGGGTTGCAGTGGTTTTATTCATTTGAATTGTAGCAGAACATTCCAAACTCTGTATCTGTTTTGCAGATAATTGTACAGTTACATCACGCTCAAATCTTAAATTGGCAGCTGTTCTCCTGCTGTTCAATCTATTTTGAAATTGTCTGAYTGTATCTTATCAATTGCTTTCTTAAATACAATTGAATGTCCAGGTTTCATCTCAAATGCACATYACCTTGCTGCACAGCTTTTTTGGTTCCAAAGTACTCAAAATTGTATCACTTTTGTGTAACATCTTTCCCATCTGTTTCCCTCCTCCTTTTTCATCACCCCTGATAGGAGGCTGTTAGGGAATATATTGTTGCTGGTGTATGTCTGAACCCCGGGTCTGTAAAGTATATTCAACTTCTCTTAATTTAATGGGAGTTTTAAGGTTATTCCTGAGATTTTTTAAGGTTATAATCCTGAGATTCCTGAGATTCCTGGATTTTGTTCTTTGTGTGAATTGAAGTAGTACTTAATGTTTGAAGGACAGTGTAGTTAAATATGTGGACTGGTACCTGCTTAATGAGTCATGTGTCCCTAGGATGAATTTTGGTACTTAAGGTTAGTAGAACATACATGTTGAATGTAAGGTCTGTTTTCAAGCCTGGTCTTCTGTGATCCTGCTGTGGTGAAGCCTTTTGCAGTGGGCTAACATCTGTATAAGGCAGCAAATTCTTCCTGTAGCTATCTTTAAATTGTATTTGAGTGCTATTTCTGTCTACAGATATTTGGTTTCCAAATCCATTAACCTTGGTTGTATATTCTGAAACAGCAAAGCTGGAATCAGTGAGATGTTTGAAGGACACCAGGGACCAATCACGGGTATCAACTGCCATGCAGCAGTTGGACCTGTAGACTTCTCACATCTTTTTGTCACCTCTTCTTTTGACTGGACAGTAAAGCTTTGGACAACGAAGGTAACTTAGATAGTTCAGTGGTTTTCTTCGTAGCCCTTGACACAAGGTGGTGCTATAATGTAAGCTACTTAAGGACGTTCAATAACCTGAAACCAAATYGTGGGAAGTTCTGAGGTTCTTGGTTGCAGTCCTGCAGAGAGAAGACAGCTGATGAGCAAAAATAAGATTAACAACATAAAACTTTGCTTTCAGCTTGTACATCATTTGTATGCTTCTGATCCATTCTTTTCACTGTTTTGCCCATTGTTATCAACAATGATTACAAATGTAAAACCTGTATAAAGTCAGTTCCTTCATATATTCATATGGCAAATGTTTTGCTACAATTTTGTGGAAGGCTAAGGGACAGCACCGAAACTAATGTCAGTTAAACTTGATGAGGYTCACAATTGAAATACCTGTCATTTCCATTGCCAGAATTACTTCTTTCTCTGTTAGTCTGATGCCCTGAGAAATGCAAAGCAGAGGAAGCAGAGAAAATCTCCTAGCAATAGTCTGAAGTGCTGTCAYGGAATTATCATTGGCTTGATTTACAAGATTCTTACAGCATTAAATTAACAATTTACGATATTAGCTTGTTATTGTTTTATAGTAGCAGCCAGCAAAACAGCTGCATGCTTTGGTAAGCATACCTTGAATAATAAAGAACATTGGTTTTGGCTGATYTTTGCATTTTTTTAAAGCAAGTCAAAATGCAAATCAGTTTTTACTAATTGCTGGTAATGGTGTTAAAGTTCTGTATTTTGCTTTACCTGTTTTATAATTTTGAAATGCAGGGTTTGGGTATCACATGGTTATCTTTGCTTTTTTCAGAATAACAAACCTCTCTACTCCTTTGAAGACAATTCGGATTATGTTTATGATGTGATGTGGTCTCCAACTCACCCTGCCTTGTTTGCCTGTGTGGAYGGGATGGGCAGACTTGACCTGTGGAATCTCAACAGTGATACTGAGGTGAGGAAGTCAGGTTAACATCAAATGTAACTGGAAAATTGTTTATACTCTTTAAAAAAAAAAGCTGGAGTTTACCGTAGTTTGGGTTGGCTTTGTTTTATCATAGCTTGTTTTTTTGTTACTGTTCTTAAATATTGTGTAATCCAGCAGTTCCTGTGTAATAGATAGCATTATTTSATTACAGGGTTACAAATGACTCTGCATAATGAATAACAGCAGTAATTAAATTGTTTTMCCTATAACAAGAGAGCAAAGCATCTGTTGGTGTAATACTGATCCATATTGTGAAAGTGTATTACAGACATCCCACCCTCAGGTCTTGTCAGACTGCAGCCTATCAGTGTGAACAAACCTGTTACCACACACCACTGYTGTTCCTATTGCCACAGTAACACTGCAGTGAAAGCGCTGTTTGGTTTTCTGGAGTGGGTTATAAACTTCATTATAGTATAAATCTCTTCCAAGACTTGCTGGGGGTAGATCAGAGAAGAAACCTGACATATACTTACTACTTACATTTTACCATCTTAAAAACTACATATAGAAGAAAGTTGTGGGATCATATGCCAGCCTGTGGTTTTAAATTGGAGTTACCTGTACTTTTTTGGACAGGGCTTGACCTGCCAAAAAAGCTGGTTTCATCCCTGCTCTGTGTCAGTTTTTCTTGGGCTCCCAGGGTGCCACATCGCTGTCTGGAATCATGTCCATGCCCCTCTCATGAGAGGAGTACAGACGTGCCTTAGATAGCAGATGTTCGTACTTTGACCAAGGGACAGATGTGTTGTTTTGGTCATGTCACTGGTGACAGCTTAAGGTCACAAAGGATCTTTGTATTGTGAACAGAGTCTTTCATCTATGTACCATGTACCAGTTAAGTGCTGAGTGCTTCTTTAGATAGACTAGGTGTAGAAACCTGATGCAATTTCAACAATGCGTTTCAAATTGGTGCAGGTGCCCACTGCAAGCATCACCGTGGAGGGCAATCCTGCTCTGAACCGTGTGAGATGGACACATTCTGGGAGAGAGATTGCTGTAGGTGATTCAGAGGGACAAATAGTTATATATGACGTGGGAGAGGTATGTATACTATGTATTGTGAAACGTATATTGCAGAACACTTGAGCTTCTTTATTTAGCAGCTTGCTTTCACTTTTTTCTCCTGTTATTAGAGGAACAATAATTAGGTTTCATTTTTATTTTCGAATTAATGTTTCCCAGTAGTTTTCTATTTAGGATGTTCTAGCATAACTTTTTAGCATCCCATCTGTCATTCAGTCAAGAAGGAAAAGCTTTATTGTAAGGCTGATGAAATAAGAATCAAAGGTTTTGTTAATAGAAATTTTATCTTCTTTGTAACTATGGCACATATTAATTCTGACTCTAGCTTGAGAAGTACTGAACAAAAAATTTTGCAGTGAWGCAGTCTCGATTCTGTTGTTACAGGGAAGCTGTTGCTATTGCAAGTATACTCACTGCATTATTTGCCGTACACATACTTGTGTACTGATCAATTGATGGGATGAGGATATAGCATTAGTAGTCCCCTTTGGAGGCAGCCTCTCAGGTAGAGGTACATAACACAAGCTTATAATAATATTCTATACCTCAATGCAGGAGTCTCAAATCCTGCTTCTTTTATTAGTTAGAGCTTTTGATGATTACACTAAAATAAAGGTAGGCTTTTCTACTGGAACCTCTCCTTTAAGTGCTTAAGTGAATAATCTTTCAGTGCTCTGCTGTTCCAAGTGAGCTCAGATTTATTTATCAGATGGTTCAAGTAACACTCTCTGTGCCAACAGCAAATTGCCGTTCCTCGCGGTGACGAGTGGACTCGCTTTGGCCGAACGCTGGCTGAAATCAACGCCAACAGAGCTGACGCAGAAGAGGAGGCTGCGACCCGCATCCCAGCGTAGAGCCTTCCAAACAGGCTGCAGGGCTAGACTTGGGAAGGATTGGATGCAAATCCTAAAGTGTCAGCTCATGTGTCAGTTCTATTCATAGCTTAAGGGAGGAATATATGGATTCAACAATGGACTTTCAAACGTATTAAGATCACTGAAAATCAGATCTTGCATTGTTATGTTTTATATATAAATTACAAGCACATTCTTGGATTTGTGTAACTTTTAATACGGTTAACTTTGACTTTGCAATCATCTTCTTTTGCTGAGACACTAACCTGGTACAAATTTGCTACTTGGCTTCTGTAAAGTCCAATCTGAAACAGTATCTTTCTGGAAAGTTAAAGTTCTGGTCCTAAAACTTTCTCTTTTACAGACTAACCTTCATTAGGTAGTAAATCTCTGGAGCATTCATTAATTTGAACTCTTCAAATTACCCATGGATATGCATGCATATGTTCCAAGTTTCATTGTTTATATATAGATAAGACTCAGACTCTGGTAGTGGGTAATACATGTGAATAAAAATTTGTCTGTAGTTACAAACTTACTTGATAATCAGACCTGAATTAATGAAATACATATTTAATACCAATTTCCTTTTGTTTGAATTGGTGCATTAAAAGGTGAGACTGATTCATAAATAAATATTATACAAGCACTTGTCAGCTGCCCTGACCTCTAATCTGTGTCCCTGCAGTAGTTTAAAGTTTATGGGAGCTGATCCTTTTCTTTTATTACACACAATCACAGGGTTGTTTTCTGCCCCCAATCACTATTTACTACCCTGGCAATTGGCCAAAAGCAAAAAAGTTCCTGTTATCAGATTTTTTTCTTTTCCAAAGGATAAGGAACTATATTTTTACTTAATTTCTATAGCRTGGTGATTTGTATTCCATTAACTACAGACTTGCTACTGATTTTCTGTACTAAGTTAAAGAAAGATTTTTATTACTATTATTGATTTTTAACATTTATATTGAAACAAAACTTCTTAATGGCTTGAAACAGAATGGTTGGAATTTCTGTTAAAGGTTACCTTTTTTCTTTCTTAGCACATTATAAAGTTTTCTATCATGACTGGTTGCAGGGGGGCTGTCGCTTGGTTTGGGTTTTTTTAAAAAAATAAATATTGTGAGTTGCACTAATTAGGCACAAAATCAGTTTTGTAGCCTTTAACTTAGGACATTATTCTTAATCTGTTACAAGCTTATTGTTTGGCCAGAAGAGCTGGTTTAAGATGCTTAAAAATAGGAAATAGGTTTATATTCCTCAATCAGTTTTATGTCTAGAAATATTGTTTCTTCATTGTTTTTGTTTTAACTTTCCTAGTTTGTTTTGGGGGGGTTGTTTCTCCTTGTCTCAGTTTTGTTATGAGCACCTTGCAGAGACACAGCAATAATAGCAGTTCTGTCTTCAGGAAGTTTTGTTTTTTGGTGGGTCTGGAAGTGAAATGTGTTTGGGTTTCCACTGGTGTTGGCATTTCAAAAGTGTGTGTCCCTCCCTTTTCAATGCAGCCCTGCTGCTCGGGTTGCAGACATTTACCCTGGGTGTTCTCAACCCTGCTACAGCAGCTCTGTTCAGCTGAGAAGCATGGGAACTATGTAACAACAGGCACGTCGTGGTTTGAGATGATTTGTACCTTTAGGCACACAAATTCTTAACAAGCAGAGGGATCTGTTGGTTTGATGGTTTTGGAAGGAGGGGGTGCTTGGGTTTTTGGTTGTTTTTTCTTGTGTTTCTTTTTTATTGAGATTACTTCTCATTGAATAATACATTGCCCTCACTTTTATTTTCAGAAAACCGGTAGGTAAAGCTTTCTTTCAATGACTGTTGTATATATGCAGATCATAACCTTCTAATAATTTTTCAGTTATTAAAATTAGTACTCCTCTTTCTTCCTGCTTGTRTTCCTCCCTCGCAGAATAGTTGAGCACAGATTTAAAATGTTGTAAAACCCATACCTGCAACGTTGACACCAAGCGATGCTAGATCTGTAAATGATCATTCTGGGAGCCAAACTGTCCAGAACTATAAGAATTATAAATGCTGTTGTGCATTGCAAAGTCTCCTAAGGCCTTGTGCCAAGTCAGTCAACAAGCTGTGACTAAGATTAAATGCCAGCGGGTACCCTCCATTTTTGTCTCTATTTCAGAAAAGCGCAGGACAAAATACATAGATACAAGACAGAAGTCCCATGAAGTCTGTGTCTATCCAGAAAACATTACAGAACAAGAAATTCTTTTAACAGAATATAACAAATAAAGAAGCCTTCTTATGGGGTTATTTATATTATGAAATAAATAGTGATCAAACTCCCAAGGTCAGTGTATTGTAACCTCTGGCTCACCAAATATTATTCAGCACCAAAGTAAGTTTTATCTTCCTTAGATTCTAGAGCTGAAGGAGGGCTGGTCTGAGTAGTGTTGAGTTATTTAGAAGGCATTTCTTTCTAAATTGACTTAATCCCTCACAGGCCTACTATCACCTGAGTAAGAAAACAGCTTGAAATCAGTTTATACCACTTCTATATGCTCTGCTCCAGGATGTTTAACCCTGTAAGAAACATGGAATAGTAAAGATTGGAGTTTGCTGTACTTCAGTAAGCAAGAATGGTTTCCAGTTAAAGCTGGAAACCCACCCCTCTCCTCTCTGGCTGCATGGACAGCATAACTAATTTTCTTCCAGCAGAAATCTAGACTCCCCTATTTCCTCTTACATTTTTGCATTTTAATATTATACCATGAAAACTTTAGGCAGACACTAAGCCAGAAACAGTTCAAGCTTTTGCCTTCTCCTTTTACTTCCACTCATCTCTAAATGTAAACAACCATTTTGCATATAAAAACAATACAAAAGTAAGTAGGTTTCTTCCCCCCCGAATAACCTAATCTCAATGTAAAACAATTTAAAAATAAGGAGAATGCTTTCAATTTTTTTATAACTACTTTTCTACCAAGGGAAAAAAAGGCACTCTGAGCAGTAAACCCTGTAAAAATTAATGTCTGTTGGTAAGTGGCAAATCTCACATTGTGTTTAAATATGCTACCCTAGAAGTAGTATCTGTCACACAATTAGTATTGCCATGTATTTTGAGAGAATTCCTTGTCACAAGCAGTGCTGCAAAATAAAATATTGCACGTGCTCATCWCATTACTGTGTTCTCTAACACTTAACGAGCCAGCACATTGCATTTTTAATTCCTCTGCTGTAACGAGTAGTGAAGGGCATTGCTGCAGAGGTTCTGTCCTGTCCTGTCCATTCATTAATGGATGCATCTGATCTTTACATTTACTCTGTGGAGGGAAAAAAACCAATCATACTGGACAACTTCTTATAAATTCAAAGAAGTGAACTGACAGAAGTGGTTTTAAACATTTTATTGTCACGATTGTTAACAAAACACCTTCAAAACGTCTGTACATTTCAAACTATTTTGAACTGCAATACCCATTATATAAATGTACGTGTATAGATGCCCTGATGTCTCTGTACAAAGATGTACAATATGTACAGTAACAYTAAATGCAAGCTGTGCAAGGCAAAGTCTAGGCTACAGCTTCATGCCACTGGTTAAAACAAGGCAGAGAACCACAGCTTCAATCAGTTCCTTGTGTGTGAATAAATAAATGCAGGTATGTATGAATATTTGAAAGGAGCAATTAGATTTGCAAGCTCAGTTCAGCTAGAACACATGCAGCTGACTGGAAGAAATACAGCAGTAGTTTTGTGAACTCTTTCCACTGCATCACTTTGTTCAGTTGAAATACCTTTTCAGGATTCAGCTGCTATGCATGAGCTGAGGTGGTGGCAGGAGCTCGAAACTTTGGAAGATATAAACCAAATTTATTTTCTATACCAGCAAATGTAGCTGTAGCAAGTCTGTATCCTCCTATATGTGCAGGGTTAACAGGAGGAAGATCTGAAATTCGAGTTTTTGGAGTAGATTCTGATCCAACAGGTTTGCTGTTTGAACAAAGAAAAAAGGTATTTTTATTAGTCTAGATTTCACACAAAAATATTTTAAATAGACTTACTCAGGCTTAATTACTTAAGTCTTTTTTCTGAATATGGAAAACTGTTAAAACTGACCTTAATTAATGGACTCCTATGGTGAAGTGAATGAGGTCAGACTACTACTTAAATTTAAATCAAACCCAAAGCTGAAGATACATTTTTACTGATACTTTTGTAAATTATTTTAACTTCCAGTGTCACGAGGAAAATGGACACAACTATCTTGCTACAATGGAAATACAAAGCAGTTTGTGGAAATCATAGCCTCTCATCTRTTTAGAAGTGGCATGCAAGTTTCCCTCAATTACGTAAGGATGGGGGGATTTTTACATTCTGCAATTTTAAGTACAGGTGCTCAAAGTCAACAAGTTTTAATGAGTCCCATGTAAGAAATGTTTGGGKTTTTTTTCTTTAAATTTGGCAGTTACTTTGTGCAAGCTAAATAACAAATATTTGACTTACTGGCCTCCAAAATCAACATAAAACCATCTCTGCAGAAGTTCATAAGTCACCAAAGTAACACCAAACTGGGGTGAAGATCTGAACACACGAGCTGTTAAATATTACAAATCATAGTGTTAAACAAATAAAACAATATCTCAAGAGAGAAGCTAAACATTTTTAACAAGGTGTTATGTTTTTCACAATCAGACCTTATAAATACTGCTCTGATTTGAGTCCTTAACAAAGCAAGTGCTAATTTGCAGATTTGGGGTCAGCCTTAATWATTTTTTTCTCACCTCCAGCTCCCTTCCACAAAGCAGAAGGGCCTTCYTCCCTCAGAATCTTTCTGAAGCAGTCAATAACTCCACTGTACGTTGTCTGACCGGCGCGAGCTGCCACTTGCAGTCTTGTCTTGATGACATCAGCAGGGGTTACCAAAGAAGCAGCAGGCACACCTTTTAGGAGAAACCACGTTTGATTTGCACAAAGGATCTTGTAAAAGATGGAACACTTACAACTGAAAAATATAACTGCAAACTTTCATATTTTTTACAAGGGCTAGGCATTAAAAAAAGYGCAGATTCCTACTCTTGATGCTCATAAAAACTGTTGTGCCTGATAGAATCATTTTGACTTTCTTCTAATTTAAAGGCTGTAAGTGATAGCAAAGGAAATAAACTATCAAAATAAACTATCAAAAACCATTCTTGCCATCTTCTAGCAGCCTGGCAGTAGCAGTAGTTTGAAACAAGATAAAATTTCCTCTATTTATAATACATAAAAATTAGTTGTGTAAATTTACTGTATTTATTTATACTCTACAACATACTTTGCAAATTACATAGACGATTTGGGAATTGGATCCTTTGCATACATTTGTTAAAGGTGTTGATGAGAGAAASTACTCCTTAAAAGCCCTATTCCACAGAAAAATGTCTAAACTGCTGTTTGGACTGTTCTGTAGGAGAATAGATGCTGCTTACTTCAGTAGGCAAGCCATAAAAAGACTGAGGACAATGAAGGTGTTTTACAAGTCTGCTTAGTACCAACAACGTGGTATGACCCAACAGTGATGGAAGAACAAATCTCCACTTCAAGGCACCACTCTTGGCTTTCTAGTCAAAGGAAAAGTTTTCACAAATGTACTCCACAGTATGTAACTGTGCTGAGATATTTCTGAATACTTCTGAATACTGTAGAAACTTCATCTCCTTAAAAGGGGAACCATCTTCTGATTTAAAATTCTGAAATTAGTTTTTACTTATGTTTAACTTTTACAACTGGTTAATATTGAACTAAAAATTTTAACAAGTCACTGACTTGCATGGCTGATGATAAACTGTAGTGTCACTGACCAATTCAGGAGGTTTTAAAGGAAAACAGAAGCACTCTTTTCCTTTAGCAGTTAAGCCTGCAAGCATACACAAATAGCAATCATATGCAGATTTTCCTTACAGGCAGATCCCTTCAGACTGTATTCTTCCCTGCTGCACATGCGTACTGGGTACCATGCTTACTGAGTAAGCAACTGAGAATTTGAAATTTTCAATCCAGAGAGGCAGATTCCTGTGCATGCTATAAAAGTAGGCCWATGAGATTTACACATATTTTTAATAGGGTTCATCACTTAGCATGAGTAACACAAAAACACTAACGAAACAAAGACTAGCTGGGAAGTTTGCAATCT